CCTTTTGAAATGGAAAGAGATGAAGATATTGGTGTAGTTAACACTTATATTTACACAATGGAATCAATTAGAAAGGAGGGAGTACAAAATCCTTATACTTGTTAGACACTGAAAATATGGCATAAATACAGTATATGAGATTATTTGCTCTGCCTATAGCATGTCTATGCCCCATGCTGGATTATCCAAAATTTTAATCAAGAGTTAAATATATACATTTCAAAAATTGGAAAAGAATTGGAATTTATAAAATAAGAGACCTACTTGACACAGGGAAACCAATAACAATTAGACAGAGGATGAAACAAAAGAAATAAAAACTAATGGCTACAATTAATATAGGTAAGAAATTTGGCAACTCATTTATACCAATGTTTTGGACCTATGAGAACGCTCACGGAACTAGAACAATATAGTATAGAAAAAGACTGAAATAAAAGGAAGGGAATAACTTCAGTAATGCATAAACATTTGGTTGAGAAAGAATTGCCCGGGGTATGGGATCTAAAATAACATGGGAAACAAATTTGAATATTAATATCTCAGAGAAAGAATAGATGGAAATATGGACCACATATCCATATAAATCAGTATCAGTTAAAATGAAAGAAATAGTTTTGAAGAGAGTCCATAGATGGTATTGACACCCCACAAAATTAATGCAGAAATCTCAGATACATGCTGGAGAAACTGTGGAAGTAAAGGCACACTAGAATACATGTGGGTCTCTTGCTCCAAAGTGGAAGCATATTGGTAGCAAATAATTAAATGGATAGAAAAATTGTTGAATGAAAAAATAATTAAAAATGAAGCTTTGTTATTATTTTCAATATTTAAGGATGGAAATGAAAAATTATTTACTGGGACAGCAAGAGCTGAAATTGCACAAAGTTAGAGAAATGCTCAAGATCTATCAGTACAAAAATTTGAGAAGAGAATCTGGCAAATGGTCCTGATGGAGTCGACCAATCAAATTAAAATATATAAACAGGATAAATTTATGAAATCCTGGAAACCATTATTAACATATGGAATTAGCTCAAGAAAATAAGAATGTGAAATGGGAAGTAATTTAGATTGCTGGCATGTAATATTTTAAAATAATTAAGTATGCAAAAATATGAATTAGTGGATGTGTAAAGAAAGATAATGTGCTGATAGACTGTAAGTAATGTGGTAGTATTGTACTACAATTTTAACTTGCATCGTTACACTATGGATGTTAATAAAATAATTTAAATTTAAAAAAATTATCCCTTTTTTCTCTTCCAGCATTCATTAGACTTTTCTTGCTTTCAAATGTTTCATAAACTCCAATTTACTTAAAATCTTTTGTACAGTACCTCAGTTGTACCTTGTACCTTGGAGTTTCTATCATCATGTGCTCCAAGTGTAGCTATGACACACACATTACAGATAGATTAATTCAATGTTATGTGCTGTCACGTTGGTGCTGACCTATAGGGAACTTCCGAATGGGTTTTCAAGTTGTATCTTTGCTTTGCTCCATCCTTTTGCATTCAAATTAGTATCTTATACTTGGAGTTATCCTTTTGTACTCTTGCTTTTTAATGTATAACTTTTTCTCTATGGATTTTTCTTTTTCCTGTTCTTTTAATAAAGTTTTGGAGCCTTTTTTCCCCTTCACTGATGTGTCATTCCCTTGAATCGAAAAGAACTCTTTGTCTGTGGCAAGGTATCCGGTCTCCTGAGTCCTAGTCTGTCACTCTATCTACTGCACCAAACAGAGTATCAATTAATTCAATACTGAGACAATATTTTAGTTATTTTAAATAGAGAATTTCAAGCAGCCTAGCTTTAGGATCAATAATGTCCTTAATAAATAACACCTTTCTATCCCCTCCCCTACTCTATGGCTCTCCCACATAAATTATTTCTAGTGTATTTTTTGTTTATGGTATTTGTAGTGCCCAATAACACACCCAAATAAAATCCTGCTCTGCTGATTTTTATCTAGAATAAATGGTATCAAGTTGAAAAGTGGAAAGGAAACACACTTCAAAGCAAAGTAATAGAAATTAATTTTTGTATTTACTGCCAAAAGAACCCACAGAACTTTGAAAAGAGATTATGTTGTATTACTGTCTTTCCTTCTCCAACCTAGTTCACTGCTGAGAGTGATCTGAGCAAACACAAAGTGACTGAGCTCATCTTAGTACTCCCTTCAACTTGGTATCCAAGAAACGTTCTTCGGCTTTTTTACCAGAACTACCAGCCTAGTACTCAAGGCATTCTCATGGACCACAGACCAAAAGTGCAAGCAAAACAGGGCTTTTGTAAGTTTTTGAACCTCGTGCTATGAGAAGTGATATCCGTGTGTAGGTGCAAGGCAGGGTGTCAAACTCCTAGGTGGCTGTCTTATTCCACACAGATGAGTCCAGGAGTGTCTTGTTGTGTGACATCTTCACCAGCCAGAGAAATATAGCCACACTTCAGCAGGGATTAATGTAAGTGATAATTTAAATAGGAAAAAGGGTAGAGAAATAACTGGTCATCTCACATTTCCACATACCTGTCTGAGGAGCCAGGATTAGGCACCATGTCTGTTCTGTTCACAGCAAGTGAAATCACATCTGCCAGGTCTATTTTCCCCACTGGCTCAGAGCTCATCTCAGTCTCATAGAACAGTAAAAACTTCTCCAGGGAGCACCAGACTCTCTGAAATTCTACACAAGAGAGAACATTAGTAAAAAGCCATTACCCCACTGCCTACATATTGTGGACCCCAATCGCTCCTGACACCATTCTTCACACTTACCCTCTCTGCTCTTCTTGATGACGGTGATTTTCGTCATGGCTGGTGCCTTATACAGATAGCCACAGTGGGCAATTGCTTGTGTAATTTCATTGTAGACCCCTTCTGGGCTAAATCCTTCCACACCAAGATTGCCTGTTAAATGCACAGACTTCATGTATCCAGTTCCAGGAATACCTATACATTGCATCATCTATAAAAGATTCAATTACCGAGAAAGAAAAAAGCTGTTGATTTAGGGATGAAATTAAGGCTCATGCTCCATAAAGCCAGGAAGGTGGAATCGAAGTCTGATTCCTTAGTATCTGTAATCATCAATACTGTTGTGCTTGCTTACAGTATACGCTCCCTATGCTCACATTTTGCTTTGCTCTTTCAGACCCAAATCTTGATTGAGAGGATGGAATGTCTGAGACCAGCAAAGATGTCCCACCTTGTCTTGGATTCTATACCGTCTTCAAGCCGTCCAATGCCTATGCTGAGGACTCAGTTCACATTCCTGCTTTAGAAGAAAAGCCTGGGAAAGTGTATTTGCTAATTATGGGGCAGAATCCTGCTGCCTTAAACCAACTGCATCAGGTCACTCACATATGTAGTTCTATGTGCTCCCCAATGTCCGCCAGTTGAGTAGATGATTGTCACCAACTGCACACCCAGCCATGCAATGGACAGTAAGTGAAAGGTGAATGACACTTGTGTGATTGCCCTTATATATGTGGTTTCCCCCAAGATTTTATCTTGTGTAGTTGATGTAATAAATAATTAGGTTCTGAGAGATTTCATATAATAAAAGGAATAGGAATTATACAGATGAATCCACTGAATGGATGACTTTATAAGCATTGTACTGAAGACATGCTAGTTTCAGAACAAAATTGAGCACCTAGTGTCTAACCTTGCCATAGGTTTAAGGGAGTAGCACAGCCTTAATGAACTTTGGACTACTTCTCATAACATCTACAAAACTAACATCATTAGTTTTCACTTGTTTTGGAAATAAATATATGACCATCTTATTTAAAAATGGAAGTGAAAACAATAAATGTGCTTGCTTTTAGCAGCTTTTCATTGGATCAGTCTTAAATTTGGCATCTTCATAAACTTATTCAAGTAGATAATGGAAACTAACTTTCACATTATTAGCTCAGTCAGTGTCATTTTTACAAGCAGATGTGTGAGACATAGAATAGCAGAATCTTTGTTTCTGTTCTTTGCATTAACTGAGGGGATTCTGAGAATGAGGGAAGCAAGTCCATAAGTATAAACATCATGCTGTGTAGGACAGGTGGGGATTCAATATGAAAAGACTACTTTTGTAAATTAAATTATTACATATAAAATTTTAAATCATAATTTTCTTTGCTGACAAGCCTCTTGCTTTAAATTTGCTTTAGAATTCCCCAGGCCAATGTTTAGTTGTGAGAATGAAAATTAAAGCTTTGGGAGTGAAGACTGCAATGTATATTCAAATACACACACAGAAGCTCATTTCCTGCTGAGTCTGGTAGCATTAGGAAGACAGCACCTGGTAACATTATTTAGAAGATGGCCCAGGAAGATGAGATGTGATTAAATGGGTGTGGCCAGGGAAAGACATTATTCACCTTCTTAATTAAGAATATATATATGCATATGCAAACGGATTGAGTATATAGTTACCTGGGCAATTTCTTTGCTGAACCTGCCCGCTGTTGTACAAGGGAGTGGCTCCTAGAGTGGTGCTGCAGCTTCCCATCTCAGCATCCATGGTGGTTGCAAAGAACTTCAACATTGTCTTAAGCAGGCCAGGCCCAGACACAGCTGCACACAGAGCCTGAGGGGAAGGAAGACTGTTAGTGGACCTGCTTGAAATAACTGGTCTTCTACAGGTATGCCTGACCCTAAAAATCCAAGCACTAAGAAAAGGTAGTTCATTAGCCATCTGAACAGGCAACAACGTGGTCCCACTGGACTAAGAATAGCCTCGTCTGAGCAGATGCAAGTTCGATGCCCGTGAGTGCACTGGAATTCCTGTGTGAGAGTCACAGCCAGTTTATACCTCCCCCTGGATTCCCCAGTGCACAAAGCCCTCTACAGAGGCTTACCTTTAAAAGACTTTCCTGTCTGCTGTACTGTGGGTGCTGCATGCGGTAGCGCCCATAGCGGTACTTGCTTGTGATGAAGTCTCGCCTCTGCTCAGTGCTGGCATCAGGATACAAGGCTTCAGAAGGTGGGAGATGCGCTGCCCAAAACCTGTTGACTTGCTCATTCCCCAGCATGATGAACAACTTTAGAGAAAAGGGTTGGGGTGACATTGAAGCAGTTGTGGTACTTGGAAGAACACTCATTTTAAGCACTCCTTTTCAAAAACAAAAGTACAGCATGATCCTGGGAACTTTTGCCCCAAGAATAACCTCAATTCAAAATTATTTATTTATTCAATTTATATTTTGTCATATTAGTACAAGGAATTATCCTCCTCAATCATTCTTACACCTGCAAATTTGGATCGTGTCTCAACCATTTCTCAGACTCTAGACCCTGTTGGGGAAATGCTTCATACCTGAACCATCTCATTGCTCCAAATGCTTGTGTCCAGCTTCAGACTCTGCACTTTAGAAATGCTGGAGCCCAAACTCCGGTGTTGGCCTGTGGAAGCAAATAGGCGCTGAGCACAAACTTCATAGAACAGGCATACAATTTAGGTTGCTTTGCAACCAAAAGCAGGGCAGAACCTGTAACAGTCGTGGGGACAACCCCTAACCCATTATAGACTGCCCAGTAACTTTGGAATTAAAAAGCTTAAACTCTTGGGTGGGTGACCATGGAAGTTACACCTTTTAGGATTGGCTTACATTTCCAAGATACATTGGAATATATGGGAATATGCAGTGGTGTTGTTTAGAGTGATTTATAATCATGCGACAGTCACACGATTATAAAATACTATTACCATTCTCACAGTTGCTCAGCTGATGGGTGGCGACATGTTCCATGAAAGAAGCTCTGAAGAGCTGCCTATGCTTTCCCTCCTTCCTGCTTTCCTCACCACCTTTGGGGGTTGGGGTGAGAGTTCAGAACACAAGGGCAGCTCTGCAGAGCTTTTTTTTTCAAGGAAGGTGGGTCACCTAGTGAGAGGTGGGAACCAAGAAGCTACTTGCCATTTCAAGGGAGGAACTCACATGGCTAGGAGCCGGAGCTGCTGCAGAGGGTAAGCTCTCGTACCTGTGGATAGAAGGCAAGGAAGATGCGCCAGCCTTTCATGCCACCACCAAAAGGAAATGGAAAAGTGTTTGTGGTGTCACTTCTCACTGTTATACGGAGGAGAAGGGCTAGGCTCCTGTGCTTGCCTGCCTACCTGCATGGCTTTGTTACCACCACTCCTCAGAGCTGGCTCTTGGGGCTGTGGCAGAGCTTCTGGACAGTGAAGTCATGATGGTTTTATTTATGTATTTTTAATTCCTGCTATCTGGTATAGCACTGTATCAGGTAGCAGGATTCTAAAAAACACCAGAGGCATTCACACATGTCAGATCATATGATTTCAATGAATTTATTCCACATCCACATTTAAATAAATAAATCTCTTGCAGAGGAAAAAACAAAACTCACCGCTGCTAAAAATAACACAATCCCCTTTCAAATTAATCCCTGCTTGCACATTCCTTGTGTAATTACCCAAATTTAATTTGAACTATAACCTGCTGAACATGATTTAAATGGGTTGGGGGGGAGGTTAGTAGTAGGATCGGGCTCCTAGAAACACTAAACTTAAGCCCCACAGCAATAAAGAATCTTCCACAGCTCATGGGTTCATATTTCGGATCTGATTCTAGTTGTAGATTGAATTGAATGCTAAATGTATTATTTTTTGGACCAGTGCCAGAAATACGTTCTTAAAAATCTAATGCTTAAAAGAAAAACAAATAAACATCTGAAAAATAATAGTGATCGGAGTTCTACTAGTTAACAACATGAGTTAGTGTGCAGAAGTCATATGTTAGTGTACCTCCCTAAAGGGATAAGTGCCTTTTCATATCTCTTTCAAAACTAGATTTATACTAGCTAGTCCAGCCCTGGTCCTATAAATGCATTTGGACTATGAGACCCTGAAGTGCCAATACAGAGAACTAAGAATCTATGATATACATCTGGGAATTCTAATCTTAGCCCATCACAAACCCCAAGGCTGCAGGGTCATTGTTTTATACAAAGTCCCTTAACCACCCTTCTCAGCTACACTTCTTCAGCATAACACTAAAAAAATTGGGGTAGAGGCATAGAGTTTAGTTTTGCAAGCTGGCTCTCAGGAGGCCAGCCACTTCAATACAGCCACTGAAATCATAGAAGCCAGTTCTGGTTGTATCCAAGGCACATCACCACAATCATCTAAAACATGTGAGGAAAAATGTACTGCCTTCAGTCTCTCAAAGATAATGTTTGAAAAAAAGAGAGATCTTATTTGGAACAACACTGCAAATCAACAGACTCTATGTGAAGTGAAACAGATTATTTGCCTGACCACTGATTCTTGGCTACATTAACTAGTGATTCTGGGTGTCATAGTCTGTATTACATTATAGGGGCAGGGTTGGGCTATCTAACATATATTTAGTTTTGAAAGAGAAGTGGGTGAGAAAGGGGTGAGAAAGGTGTGGACTGAGAAATGTAGTCTGCGCATACACACCATACTAATGTTTGAATTAACATGTTGATAATGCTTATGGTGAATTTGTGATTCCCAGTGTGGTGTAATGAACAGAGTGATGGATGAAGACTCTGGGTTTGAATCCCTGCTCAACCATGGAAACTCAACCGGGGGGGAAGGGGATGTAACTGGTAAAACCACTCCTAAAATATCTTACTTACCTTGAAAGCCTATTAGGGTTACTACAAGTTGCTCCTGACTGGACAGCACAGAACACACAACGTTAATTGAACAAGTTAAACATGTTCAATTTTAAGCATTAATAGCAAAGATTTCACTTTGACAAATTAATTTTCAGACCAAATGTTCCAAGTTGTTTAGTGCTTGACCATCAAACGCTCTCCTCATTCACACTACCTTTACTTACATAAGTGGATTTCAACAGTGACTTTCCAGAAGCACTTGCCTGCACACTGCTTACAGATGACCACACAGAGGTTGATGGAAGCCCAGTCAGGGCTCAGAGCCTGGCAGTCAGCACAAAACCTGTTGGCTTTGTTAGACCAGATCTTCTCAGCTACTTCGTAGTCATACAGTGTCTCAGCAATGGAGTTCTGTAGGGCCTCCATCCACTCCCGCTTTTCTCGTTCAGACTCAGCAACAAAACTGAGGAAACACACACCTAATAAAGTAGGGTCTAGCCTCACAGCAAACACGTTGTCAATCTAGAAACACTGTGCTTCCAACTCTTGTGGCCCTAAGGTGCCATAGAGGGGACAAACTCTGGAAGGACTGCTGCTTTCCTCTTTCCAGATGATGAAACAGAAAGGTATGGGCCTTTCTTCTATGGGACATGGAGAAGAAATGAAGAAGAAGTGCAGACAGCAGCGAACAACCCCGGTTTCTCGGAATGGAAACAGTTGCTGTTTCTGCTCCCTCCCTCCTCCTTAGACTAGGTGACATCATGAAGGCCTGCAAGAAAAATTCTCATTTCCCAGCGGAAAAATGGACTGGAAGAGGAACAGTTTTACCCTACCAGAATCCCAAGAGGCCTGCTCTTTCCAGGACTTTCTAGAGATAAAAGCTTGCCCAAAAAGCCTTTGCATTGACTAAGGAGCATCTGTGGTGGTGTTCTCCCAAATTTTGGGGCACCCAGCAATATGATCCACTTGTGTCCTACCAATAAGGCCAGAAGAGGCACAGGAGCTGCTGTTCCACACTGTCTGCTCATCTGGTGTCACAGAGGTCTCTTGGGGAAAAAATGACATTTCCTGACAAGAGATGAATCTGGAGCAAGCAGCACAACACAACTTTCTTATTCTCTTTTTATTCTATTGCTGCTGACAGACAGTTCTTGTCTCTGGAGAAGGAAGACTGGCTCATCTCTTTGGGCCATCTGACTTTGTTCTATCAGTTCTTGATTATGCTCCTGCCAGGCATGAAACAGTGCACCACTTAAATGCTCAGGTTGTGTTACCTGAATATCTTGAATGGGGTGATGAGCTCAAAGCCGCGTCCTTTGGCATCTCTGATGGTGGTGCTGTGCATTTCTATCACACAGATTGCAACACCCATTTTAAAGAACTGGGAAGGAAATGTAGAGAGGAATGAACAGAATTTAGTTTACAGTCAAAAAGATGTCCCCGCTAGTCATATACCCTCAAACTCAGAAAATAATCAGGAGGGAAATATTTCACTCCCCGTTATTCCCATTAAGGGCTCAAAATGGCAAGAGTGGAGACTGAAGAGTTTAACACCAGCTACGATCTTGAAGGATGTGAATTTCCATCAAATTCAAATGCTCAGGACAGGAATAAACTATATTTTATAGAGATAAACTGAAATTGTTTGTGTTCCAGATATGTGATTCAGGCAAATCTTTGAGATCAGGTAATATTATCTGCAAAAGAAGCCCATGCTTATCTCTGGATAACCAATCACAAAGCAAAGCAAGCTGTTTGCAGACTATAGGAGGTATGAAAAGCTCCTCTTGTAACAATCTGATGTTTTCAGCATTTAACAATCTCTCTTCTAACAACAGGCTATTTGCAATGTGCACTTTGGTCCTCAGACTGCCTTGAGTCTGGTGCAGCCATCCTTCTAATCTTGTCAGAGCCATTTCTGCAATAGTGTTAATCCTACCACTATGAAGAAGATCCCTTCCAATCCTATGAACAGAAAAATCTCTGGACGAAAACGCTAAAATTGCTTTCCATTTCCTCAAATCTGATGAGCAGAAAAAACACACCACAGTCTACCACCCCTGGCTGAGGGATGCAAATGCTGAAAGTCTCAGATGCTTACCTGCTCACTTTTGTACAGCCACATCTCTGCCAGGATAAGCACCACAAAGAGCTTGGATTTGTAGCCCTTGAGTTCTAGGTAGCCAGACTTCTGGAAGCGGGTGATGCTGTTGCTGGCGCTGCTGCTGAGGCAGGGCCGAGGACTGAACAGTCGCTGCTCTGTCACTTTCTGTTGCAGAATGCGGCACCATTCATCCCGCAGAGCTGCAGGAGGAGAGACAGCAAAAGGCAGAGAGAGCTGCAGACCCATTGGGACAATACATCTGACAAGAGCTGGCAGCAGCATCCCTATGTGCAGATCCCTATGAGGAGCACAGCAACAAGAGAGCTGAAGGGGGCCAGTCAAAGACAGGATGCTGCTGGCTGTGGGGACAGGGAGAGTGTGGCATTAAAGAAGGGGTAGTCAAGAAGTAGCTCAGTATGGAATCCCTTACCTTCATTTTCAGCTCGGAAGACAAAGATCCTGTGCCTAGTGACAACTTGGAATTTGTTGTCCTTGGTGGAACGCACCATGTCAATGACAGAGAGTGGAATTACTCCTTTAGGATACGGCTCCTGCAACCCAAGCATGCAGGGAGTTTAGCTTTGACATTTCTGCAGTGAACCTAGATACAGACTGAATTGATTATCTAGTTTTACTTCCTTCCTATTGGGTGTGGGACAGACACATACATGTACATATACCTGTGTCCATGCATACATATGTGGCAAAAGTTCATGTACCAAAAGCTCTAAGCCCTATGACGTTTCCAACCCCTTTCGTCTCACTACCACACCTTCCAATATCATACATTTTCCTGATGAGGTTCACTCAATTAACCAGGACTTCCCATTGCTTTTCCCAGCTCCTTTTATTCTCACCTGGCCATCAACAGCCCAAGCCCAACAAGCCTGCAGTGTTTAGCAAGCAGAATTCTCTCCCTACCTTCTCATTGCCAAAATACATGATATTCTTCCCATCAAATCTGACGAAGCGTCGCTGGAAGACATAATTCCTATTGAGAATGAAAGAGAGCCCACTGAGTGCAGAGCTTTTAACCTAGACACCCCTCATCAACAAATAAGCTAATTAAAGGGCTGCTGAGGAACAGAGCTGCATCTGACATCAGCAGGAGTTGGTGCTCAGTTCCATCTTTGATGCTTCCCACTGTAGGAGCTTCAGCTCTAGAATAGAATAACTCTCACCTAGGAGTAGGCAAGGATTTTCTTTCACCTTGGTTTTGCTTAGATTTTACTAGCATTTCCAAAATCTGTACATGGGAGAAAGAAAAATTGCAGCATTGCCCAGCCCTACTTGGAATTAAAGTTGAAGAATAAAGACTAATTACTCATGGCTTATCCAGATAGAGCATTTGTTCCCTTACATGTGCCCAATTGTATGTTGATGATATTAATATTTTCCCCTCCCCCACCAGAAAGATGCAAGTGATTAAAAAAGCCAGGCTTTCTGGCTGTTGAAAACTACCTCCATGAGGTTTTGTTGGTCTGCTTTGCTTTGTGCTAGGATAGAGTTCAGATAGCACTAACAAAAATAAAACTAATTAACAAAAACAGACAAACAAAACCAGGATCTAGCACAGTGGGTATTTTCTTTTATGTTTTCTGTAGAGTTGGTATGAAAGATGGTTAATTTCCAAAGGAGTAAAGTGAAGTTTCTGCTGAAAAGGGCTCAGAGTTGCAGCTTTCAATGGATACTAATCTACTGAAACACACTGAGAGAGACAACACTAAAATCTAGCATACAGCATAGTTTTCAAAGAGATTCTTCAAACATTTTGAAATATTTTTGATTTGCTCTGTTAAGAGATTACAGTTTCTTGAAGAGGAGAGGGTTTTTAGAAATAAATGGGGACAGAAATCCTCATAAGAGCCATCACCTATCTGATGCCAAACAGTACCAAGCAGCACAAAGAGTTGAGGAAGAAATACTCTCTCTGGATGAACCTATACGTACTTGAATAAGCAAAAGCAAATGTACTAATCAGTTAAAAGGCATATTAAAGATCAATACAATTTCTTTCTTTCTTTCTTTCTTTCTTTCTTTCTTTCTTTCTTTCTTTCTTTCTTTCTTTCTTTCTTTCTTTCTTTCTTTCTTTCGCTATTAAAATTTACAATTTGAGCACTCTTGTATGTGACTAACCTTATGAGGGATTCATGTAATTATTTCATGTAGCCATTACCTTTTAATTGTTAAATTTTGAGGTCATGCCCCGAATATATATACTGTATACATTTTTATTATTCACTGAGAGACAGCAGCCTATTCTCATATGCCTAGAGGGCAACTAGAAAGGACAGCCAGACCAAAGATCCTGGTTTCTCGGCATAGGTGACTGACTCCTCTGCTCCAAATTTCTCTATATAAAAATAAAGTGCCCTGAGGAGTTGCTAATCAGGATACAGTATTTTCATTTGACAAGTGCTAAAATAGAGGTATGAATTTTCTCCAATTTTTTGCACTTTCAATCCTTGTAAGGATTTGCTGGTCTAACTTCAAGTGTTTTTATTTACATTTCTAATGTTGTAAATTGCTTTGAGCAATTTACTTCAGAAGAGGACAATAAAGCCATTCAAGGAATATCCCATTCTCATCTACCTCACTACTCTGTTCCCCTCCTACCAGCCACTTACCCCTGTGGAGAGAGCTTGTCCAGCCAGCTATTGAACACAGTGGGTGGCCGCTCAGACGATGAGGTATAGCTCGCATAAGGAGAGATGGTCAAGTCATCTAATGTTTCATCAGCGTATGAAGAGATCTGGAAATGAGAACTTGGGGTCCATGGAACCTCCACAGTAGAATAGCCTTCAGTCTCATTCTGGGCAACAGGTTTGTTGAAGGCAACTCCCCTCTGAGTAGACTGGCTTTTTTCTTCCACCTTTATGCTTCTGCCCCTGAAACAAATAGTGCCGTGCTTACTTCACAGGGCACCAAAACAACAACAACAGCAACAACAAAAACAAAAAAACTAACCAAATAAGAACCCACTGCAACTGGGATCAGCTAGCCTCCTGAAAAGCAAAAGTGTCTCTCAGTAACAAAGGCAGTTCTTACACCCTGTTCCAATCAAGATATTCTTTTCAGCAGCAGTAGGCAGTAGGGCCCCTTCACAGATTGCTGCCTTGTCATGGCGAAGGGGCTTGAGTAATTCAGAGAAGCTATGGGCTATGACATGCAGGGGCTATGACATCTCTCCAAGATGGAGAGGTCATAGTGGAGAGTTCTGACTAAATACGATCCACCTGGAGCAGGAACTGGCAAGCCACTCCAGTATCTTTGCTAAGAAAACCCATGGACAGAAACAAAAGGCTAAAAGATATGACGCTGGAAGATGAGCCCCTCAGGTCGGAAGGCATCCAAAATGCTACTGAGGAAGAGCGGAGAACAAGGACAAGTAGCTCCACAGCTAATGAAGTGGTTGGGCCAAAGCCGAAAGGATGCTCAGCTGTGGGCGTGCCTAGAAGTGAAAGGAAAATAGAAAAATACTGCATAAGAACCTGGAATATAAGATCTATGAACCTTGGTAAGCTGGATGTGGTCAAAGAGGAGATGGCAAGAGTAAACATTGACATCCTGGATGACAGTGAACTAAAATGGATGGGAATGGGCGAATTCAATTCAGACAATTATCATATCGACTATTGTGGGCAAGAGTTACGTACAAGAAATGGAGTAGCCCTCATACTCAACAAAGGAGTGGGAAAACCTGTACTGGGATACAATCTAAAAATGGTAGAATGATTTCAATACAAATCCAAGGCAGACCTTTCAACATCACAGTAATTCATGTTTATGCACTAACCACCAACGCTGAAGAGGCTGAAACTGACCAATTCTATGAAGACTTACAACACCATCTAGAACTGACACCAAAGAAAGATGTTCTTCTCATTCTAGGGGACTGGAATGCTAAAGTATGGAGACAAGGAATAAAAAGAATAACAGGTAAGTTTGGCCTTGAAGTTCACAATGAAGCAGGGCAAAGGCTAATAGAATTTTGTCAAGAGAACAAGCTGGTCATCACAAACACTCTTTTCCAACAACACAAGAGGCGACTCTATACATGGAAATCACCAGATGGACAATACTGAAATGAGATTGATTATATTCTCTGCAGCCAAAGATGGAGAAGCTCTATAAAGTCAGCAAAAACAAAACCTGGAGCTGATTGTGGCTCTGATCATCAGCTTCTTATAGCAAAACTCGAGCTTAAACTGAAAAAAGTAGGAAAAAACCACTGGGTTAGTCAAGTATAATCTAAATCAAATCCCTTATGAATACACAGTGGAAGTGAACAACAGATTCGATATGGTGGATAGAGTGCCTGAAGAACTATGGATGGAGGCTCATAACATTGTACAGGAGGCAGCCACAAAAACCATCCCAAAGAAAAGGAAATACAAGAAAGCAAGGTGGCTGTCCAACGGGGCCTTAGAAATACCAGAGAGGAGAAGGGAAACAAAATGCAAGGGAGCTAGGGAAAGTTACAGAAAATTGAATGCAGACTTCCAAAGAATAGCAAGGAGAGACAAGAGGGCCTTCTTAAACAAACAGTGCAAAGAAATAGAGAAAAATAATGGAAAGGGGAAAAACCAGAGATCTGTTCAAAAAATTGGAGATATTAAAGGAACCTTTTGTGCAAGGATGGACACGATAAAGGACAAAATGATAGGGACCTCAAAGAAGCAGAAGACATCAAGAGGAGATGGCAAGAATACACAGAGGAATTATACCAGAACGATCTGGATGTCCCGGACAACCCAGATAGTGTGGTTGCTGACCTTGAGCCAGACATCCTGGAGAGTGAAGTCAAAAAAATCTTAAAAGATGATGCTGTTAAGGTGCTACACTCAATATGCCAGCAAGTCTGGAAAACTCAGCAGTGGCCAGAGGATTGGAAAAGATCAGTCTACATCCCAATCCCAAAGAAGGGCAGTGCCAAAGAATGCTCCTGCTGCCGTACAATTGCACTCATATCGCATGCTAGCAAGGTTATGCTCAAAATTTTACAAGGAAAACTTCAGCAGTATGTGGACCGAGAACTCCCAGAAATACAAGCTGGATTTTGAAGGGGCAGATAAACTAGAGACCAAACTGCTAACACGTGCTGGATTATGGAGAAAGCCAGAGAGTTCCAGAAAAACATCTACTTCTCCTTCATTAACTATGCAAAAACCTTTGACTGTGTGGACCACAACAAACTATGGCAAGTTCTTAAAGAAATGGGAGTGCCTGACTACGTTATCTATCTCCTGAGAAATCTATATGTGGGACAGGAAGCAACAGTTAGAACTGGATATGGACCAACTGTTTGGTTCAAAATTGGGAAAGGAGTACAACAAGGCTGTCTCCCTCCTTATTTAACTTATCATCATGCGAAAGGCCGGACTGGAGGAATCCCAAAACGGAATTAAGATTGCCGGAAGAAATATCAACAACTTCCGATATACAGATGATACCACACTGATGGCAGAAAGTGAGGAGGAATTAAAGAACATGTTCATGAGGGTGAAAGAGGAGAGAGCAAAAAATGGTCTGAAGTTCAACATCAAAAAAAACTAAGATCATGGCCACTGGTCCCATCACCTCCTG